TTTCATGACAGGAACATGAGCTTAAGAGACAGAGAGAAGCCTGGATCAAGTGGTCCAGGCTTCCACTGAATTGGCCTGCACTAAGGGGCTGACTGATAAACTTGCCAAGGGAAGCCAATCTCTTTTAATGCCATCAAACCAAGATGGCATCATAGCCCACTGAAGGACTAAGTGGATAAAATGTTCCAGTGGCAGAAATCACAAAGGTAAAAAAAGAACACAATCTCTATTGGGTATAGCAGGGAAGGGGGGGGTCAATTATCATTAGGACAGTCAATCAGAGCTCTCTCATAGACTGTCAAAGAAACAGAGCCGAGCACAGTCTATTGGACAGGGGATTAAGAAAAGCAAAGCACTTTTGTAGACCACTACTTGGCATCAAACACTGAGCTACACACACCTCAGGACAGTTTATTATCCTCCCAGTAATCATTTAAGAAATGAGATTGATGGTGCCTTCCTCGTTGAATGGAAATAAATGATATAAATACTAGGTAGTAAATAGCAGAGTACCTGAAATATAATTAAAATGCAATAGAACATTGCCAGTAGGTGATGGAGAAGCAGGAATTAGCAACTGGCTTTGGCTGTGGTCCACATTAAGCTAGATAAGAAAGGGGGTTGGGGAGATGGCACAGCAGGTAAGGTGCTTGCTACACAAGCACTAGGACCTGAATTCCAATTCCCCAGCACCAGCATATAAGGTCAGGTGCACAGTGTGTTTCTATGGGCCCAGCCCCAGAGTAGGGAGAATGATGGCTCCCAGGAGCTTACCGGCCAGCCAGTCTAGCTAAACTTCTGAGTTCCAGCTACAGTGAGCGACCTCATCTCAAAAGATAAGGTGGACTACAAGAGGGTGTTCTGCTACACAAGCACTAGGACCTGAATTCCAATTCCCCAGCACCAGCATATAAAGTCAGGTGCACAGTGTGTTTCTATGGGCCCAGCCCCAGAGTAGGGAGAACGATGGCTCCCAGGAGCTTACCGGCCAGCCAGTCTAGCTAAACTTCTGAGTTTCAGCTACAGTGAGCGACCTCATCTCAAAAGATAAGGTGGACCATCAACCTCTGACCTCCTTATGCCCGCTCATACATGCACCACCCACATACACATGTACACATACACACAAACATGTACACATGCATATGCCCCGGACACAAAAGAAGTAAAATATAAACAAGAGATATTGGAAAGACTTATAGATAATGTAAAGACAGAAAGGAATTCAAGAAACTGGGAGGAAAAACCTTGAAAATACAATGTTATGAAAATCATGGCTAAGCGTTTCAATGTAAAATTATTTCATCAAATCTTGCCATGAGGATGGAGAAATGCCTATGGGAACAGTGCTACATACCCACAGTTGGTCATCCATGCCTGGAGGGTTCTTTTTGATAAAAGCACCATAGTATGTAGCAATGTTTCTGTGATGAGAATACTTCTTCAGCATGTTAATTTCTTGTTTAATTTCTTCCTCTTCATCCTGCATTAGAACAATAAGTAGGTTATGAGAAAATCTACAGTTATTAGAAGAATTACATTCTTCAATGCCATCTACACCAATGAAGTACTACTAATCAGTCCTTAAGGTTTTTTTCTTTTTTCTTTTTTTTCCTTCTATAGAGACAGGGGATCATTGTGATATCTCACTAAAATGAAAATGGTTTTGGTTTTTAAGAAAAGGTCTCCTTGTAGCCCCAGCTGGCCTGAAACTCACTATGTAGACCAGGCTGGCCTCTCACAGAGATCCTTCTGCCTCTGCCTCCTGAGTGCTGGGCTTAAAGGCAAGTTTCACCATGACCAGCTAAAATGAAAATGTTTACAGCAAAACACATGGGAAACTCAGAAGGATCTTGGTTTTATACAACTAACAGAAATAGCATTATGTTACATGCTGGATGGACAGATAAAGCTCATCTCTCCACATGGAGACATCTGATAAAATCCACACTGAGCTTCAGGGAAGCATACCCTTGCGGCACCTACCACTGTGCATACCCCCCACCCCGGCCCCTGGGAAAGACTGAAGAAAAGGAATGGGAAAACACACATTCTCAGATTTAAATTTTGTTAGGTTCATTTTCTTTGAAGTTCACTTTTACTGAAGTGCGTTGACCAAAGCCGATAAGAAAGGGAAAAGGGTAAGTTCTGTGCATTTGAAGAGGTTCACAAAGCAGGAGGACTCATCACCTCCAGGAAACTCAACATGAAAGGAGAGGGGGGAATGCAGGGCGGACATAAAAAGGCAACTCTTCATGGAGTGAGTTTCCTGACATGCAAGTCTCATCAGTTTCAACTTGGAGTCCACCAGCTTGGTCCTGACATGACTAGTGGAAGGCATGTATTCTCTGAGAATCTGAGTTCATCGTTGGGTGTGCTTTAATTGGCTGCAAAGGAGAGTTTTATTTTTGAGCCTCTATGCTGAGATTACTGACATAGAGCCATGTGTGAAGATTACCTTTGAGTACAAAAAATCCTAGCATGTGGCCCCAGTCTGAACTTCACCCTTCTATCTGCATACCTACTTCAGGTATGACGGCATTGCAGGGGCTTCTAGAACCTCCCATGTGTGTTGTCTTCTTCCCTCGACATTATGTTTACATATGTTACAGATTTAATTTACACACTTCAAGAATGTCTTTCCTCAGTCAATGTCAGGTCCCCACCCTAAGACTTGTCACCTTCCTCTGTTCTCCATGCTGAATGGAGGTGTGTGTCGTACAGTGATGCAGCTGTCCTTACACTTGACTGTCCAGTCCACAGATTAAGCTTCCCTCTGCTTCAGATATCAGTTCCAGAGCTCCTTCTCAGCAAAGCTCCTTGATCTGCCTGTTTGGTTTCAACCACCTGGATCATGTAACTCTTCCTTCATAGCACTTATCAGAATTCTCATCCCCTATCAGTCCCCCATAACTACAAATATCTTGTCCGTCCTTTTTCTCACCCCCTGCACCAAGAAAAATGCCTGCAAATACACATGAATGCTAAGATGAATACATATGTGTAATGGGCCCAAAGCCAGGCGTAGCACTGTGATGTTCAAAAGAACAGATACGAGTGGACGGGCATAGGGATGAAATGCTGACATTTCCAGATCATACAAAAGATGATTTTTTTTTAGTGGAAAAAAAAAAAACCCTAGAAATTTGCAAACCTAGAACAAAAGCCTATTATACATCATGTGGCTTAACTAAATGGAAGACTAGGTAATCTCAAAATGGAACACAGAACTGGGATGCTGGCCAAAGGAGATGCACACGGTCCTAACAGGGAGGAAGTGTGCAGGGCCGGACAGGGTCGGATGGTACATTGCTGATGAACGCACTGCTCCCTGCAGGCACCAGAAGAAGCACACACCTATGGAGAGAATGACCTTCATTGACCTTCAACTTGTTGGAGGGTCCCTTCAGTGCACTTCCTCTAGGTTGCACATTAACTATTTAAACTTCTCTTCAAGGAGCCAAATAACTGTAGTTGAGAAAAGGCTGTGAGGGGATGTAGTTGGGAGCCTCATTAGAAAGAAAGAAAACCACCCTGAGGGTTTCGATGGGCCGGTGGCTGGTGGCTGCTTTGGTTAAAAAGGCAACTACCTCCAGGGTACTGAAAGACATGGATCACTTTCCAGCTGCATGTGACAGTCTCAGCTCCAGCAAGCACTGGGAAGTCAGGCAGGTTCTATAAGGATTGGCTGTCTGCCACCTGGGTACTCAATAAGACCATGGTGATGTGCCTGAATAGGGCTTACCATGTCATTAGGAAAAGAAGATCTTAGGAGAAAGATAAACCACAGTGTCATTCTGTATATAATTAAATCTCAGATGACTAGTATTGGAGGTCAGAATGAGGTCAGTATATTCTGCCTCACTCTGTGAGGGTAAACTGAGGCAATTGTGACCAGGAGGAAAGCATAAGCATTGAATTTGAGGTCAAACAGGTGAGATGAGTAGGTGGGCTTTGTGTTGAGTTTAGGCTCAGCCTTTTTGAGCTCCAAGCTCTCAGGAAAGTAACCTATGTTTTTTGGAGCCTGAGTTTTCTCATCTATAATGAAATGCAGATGTTACAAGTCTCGGTTTTTATGTTAACTAAACCAGGTATAAGAGAATTACAAAGTATGATACAAATGAGGTCAAACAGGTGAGATGAGTAGGTGGGCTTTGTGTTGAGTTTAGGCTCAGCCTTTTTGAGCTCCAAGCTCTCAGGAAAGTAACCTATGTTTTTTGGAGCCTGAGTTTTCTCATCTATAATGAAATGCAGATGTTACAAGTCTCGGTTTTTATGTTAACTAAACCAGGTATAAGAGAATTACAAAGTATGATACAAAATAAATATTATTATTAGTCTACTCAACCAAAAAAA